CCAGGTGAGCCACTGAGGCGAAGGCCACTGCCCAGCATACTCTGGGGTGGGCGGTTTGCTTATAGTGGCAGGTCTTGGCATGCGGTTGCCGTGTTTTTCAAAACAAACGCTTGGTTCCCTTTTCATAAACGTTCTCATTTCGTCTACGCAGACTCTGTGCTTGGGAAAGGGGAAGTTCTTCCTTCTGGAGGCACCCGGGGGTGTGGTACGTTTTTGCAGAATACTGGGTGGGGGCTGGAGCTGATTCTGTTTTGTAGGGTTACGAAGAACTGCTAGATATTGAGCCCAGCCCTTGTTGCTGCCAACTTCCCCAGGCAGAAGGGTGACACTGGTAGCTCCTCAAGCACAACAGGGCATTGAGACCTCACTCCTTCCTTGTAGGAGAAAACACACCAGGCAGCTCTGCGTGTCCAGCCCTGCCGAGCTCCATCCATCGACCCAGCCTGACCCCACATGGATCCATCCACCCATCTCTGCAATTGTCTCTGTTTCCATCCTTCCATCCAGCCACCTCAACAGATGTCTTTCTAGCCACCCCTGCGGGATCTTTCTCTCCTTCCCTTTATTCACCTGTCCCTGCACATTTTCTCTCCCTCTATCTCCACAGAGAGGCCCTCTCAGCAGGGAGTCAAAATCTGCTGCCCTGGGCTACTTGCTACCAATGTCTGTTCAGTTTGGGGCGTGGCCCCTCTAGTCCTGTTTGCTGGGTGGGTTGCTTCACGTTGAATCCCCTCTTCGGCCTTGGGCGGGACCTTTCTGAGGTCCTTCAGGCTCCTTCAGGCAGGGCAGCCGCACGTTGGTGGTCTCTGGGGTTCGCTCCCTCAGTAACTGGAGGCTCTTAGGTCCCCTTCACAGTCTCCCTCGACTGGAGAGACGGTGCTTATTCCTTGTTGGCGGCCTTAGTCGGCAGGCGAGTGCTCCTTCCCCTCAGGCAGGGAGGCCGCCAGCTCCTGCCTCTTCACCAGCCAGCCCCGAAATGGGCCAGGCTCCCTCCTTTTCTCCCCTCTCCAGGCCCGGCATTGGCTGCAGGTATAACAGACCGGGGCTAGCTGGGCCCAAAGACTCTCCTTTACCCCTTCCGTGCTGGCTAGCCGTTTGCTTCATCACACCACTTCTGAAACTTCATTAAGCGGAACATCATTGTTGCTATTAGGAGTCACCCAGATTCCGGAGCAAGATCAGCATCCCAGATGAGTTTAGTCAGGGGGTTTCGAACTAGAACTAGAACGCGATCCGAGGCTGCATCGTGGCCCGGTGGCTACAGAAATGTGTACTTCTGGTTAGTCGTGGGCTGAAACCTGGTAGCTGTTACAAATAATCCATGTGTGAAAGTACACCATTATCTGTCCTCTCTTCCAGTGAGCTGTGTGGCCCCAGAACCGGTTCAAATCCAGTTCTCTCATGACTAGTTCTCACGTTCATCTCTCCTCGGTACCTTTGTGAACCCCACCCCTCGGTGCTTTTGAAAACCCCACTAGGCACCTATCATCATCTTTGGGTGCTGGCGGGGGGGGGGGGTGCTAGCAGCTGCCACAGACACTCTGATGTTGAAGTGATGTACTAGCTACATCATTGAGCATGGCATAAAAAGCAACTGATTCATACATTCCAAGGCTGGAAGGGACCATTCTGATCATTGAGTCCAGTGGTACCCAAACTTTTCCTCTCATGCCCTCCCCCCGCCCCCCGTTACCAGTAATGGAATGTGTCTGGGCCCCCACCCGGGCTGGGAGCAGAGTCGCGGCTGGTCCGGGGCCGGGAGCAAAGCCGCAGCTGGGGCTGGTGGCCGAGAGTGGGTCCTGGGGACCGGCGGCCGAGCCGAGGCCGAGAGCGGGGAGCCAGGAACGGGGGCTGGGAGTGGAACTGGGGCTGCAGCTAAGCCCGGGGGCGGGACCAAAGCGGAGCTGGGGGCAGAGTGGGGCCAGGTGTTGCTCCCTCCCTACCCTCCCCATGGGGGCTGGCCCGGGCCCCGCCACATCCCCCTGGACATTCCTCTGCGCCCCCCTCAGGGGGGCATGCCCCACAGTTTGGAGCCCACTGATCTAGTCTGACATCCCGTATATCACAGACCAGAAAACGTCCCCAGTAGCCCCTAGGGGTGGAGTTCACAAAGGTTCTAAGGTGACAGGCCCATCAAAATAAATTTGGGGCCTCTGTACCTCATTTGCTGGTGCCTCCCCCCCCTCCTATTTCACCCCAGTTCCAGACATCCTGAGCCCACCGAAGCTGGCGTTCCCTCAGGCACATACAGGTGTTATGACGCTCAGCACTGAAAAGCCGAAGTCCTTCTGTGAACCAGGGCCCTGCGTGCTTTCAAAATGCCACTAGGGGCCCTATCTGCAGTTGTGGGTGCTTAAATACCTTTTAAAATCTGGTCCTTCGTTTCAGTCTTTGTTCCCCAGCTATAAAACGGGGTGACCAGCACTTCCCTGCCCCACAGGGGCGTTGCAAGAGTAAGTGTGGCACAGGCTAGAAGTGACGTTACAGTAATGTGAGTCAATAAAAGGGTACAACACAGTGAGCGTCATTAGAGGGTTCACAAACTATTTAAAGAGATACTAACCCATTCCTAAACACGACACGCAGCTGTGGTTAGCATCAGTGGGGCACTGATATCTGACTGCCCCACCCTTAAAGGGCTCTTTACTTCAGCCTCTACATCACCCAGTGGCCTTCCCGTTAAATTGTGTCCTTCCACCGCAGAGCCTCTGCCTGGGTTATTTCTCGCCTCGCTGAGTTTTCCGCTGCGTCGATTCGTGTCTCCGAGGGATGGGAGGGATCGACCGAGAACGGTCAGTTCAAATCTGCACGTCCCTTTTCCTGTCCCCTCACATCCCCTTTATACTGAACACACCAAAGGGTGGCGTGAAACCATGAGAAAGGTCAAGTAAGAGGACACGCTTCCCTCAATGGAAAAGGGATGTGGTTAGCAGCATGTAGCCACCAAGTCTTCTCTGACGTGCGATGGGCCAAACCCTCAGCTAGTGTAAACCGGCACTGCCCTGGGGAGCTCAGTGAATCAATTCAGATACACTGCAGGGACCTGGCCCCATTGACTCCAATCGACCCATGGACAATTTACATAGGAAATGCCATACTGGGTCAGAACAATGGTTCATCTAGCCCAGTATTCTGTCTCTGACAGTGGCCAGTACCAGAGCTTCACGAGACGTGTATCGAACAGGACAGTTTTGGAGAGATTCACCCCATCGGCCTCTCCTGGCTTCTGGCAGTCAGAGTAAAGTTTAGGCTCATTTCAAGCATGGGTTTGCATCCCTGCCCACTTTAGCTAATAGCCATTGATCGACCTATCCTCCAGGGACTTACCCAGTTCTTTTTTAGAACCCAGTTACACTTTTGGCCACCACAATATTCCCTGGCAATGAGTTCCACAGGTTCAATGTGTGCTGTGTGAAAAAGTATTTCCTCTTGTTTGTATTAAAACTGCAGCCTATTCATTTCACTAGGTGACCCGTGGTTTTTGTGTTGTGGGAAAGGGTAAATAACACTTCGCTATTCATTTTTTCCACACCATCCATGATTTTAGAGACCTCAATCATATCCTCCCTCTCTTTTCTAAGCTGAGAAGCCCTAATCTTTTTAGTCTCTCCTTGTACAGAAGCCGGTCCAACCCCTTGATCATCTTTGATGCCCTTCTCTGAACCTTTTCCAGTTCCACTATCTCCTTCTTGAGATGGGGCGACTAGAACTTCACACAGTATTCAAGGTGTGGGCGCACGACCGGTTTATACAGTGGCATTATGATATTTTCTGTCTTATTTTCTATCCCTTTCCTAACATACTATTACCCTTTTACTTCTGCTGCATATTGAGTGGATGTTTTCAGAGAACAAGCCATGGTGACTCCAAGATCTCTTGCTTGGGTGGCAACAGCCAATTTAGACCCCATCATTGTGTCTGTGTAGTTGGGATTAGTTTTCCCAATGTGCGTTACTTTGCACATTGTAAAAAATGACTTTGCACTAGCGGGGGCTCTCTGGCCCTACTGATTCCAACGGAAATAGGGTGAATTCACCGCAGGTAGCAATCCGGCCCAAGAGCCCTGTTAATACTTGTTAACCACTGTCATTCGACACCTTTCTCGGCTGACCGGTTGTGGTATGAAAGTAATATTTTCCGATGTGTGCTCAGGCCACACTTGCAAAATACATCGTCCAAGACTTCAGTCAATAACTAGTCCGGTTAGTTTGTTCTTCCGTTAGACTCTCTGCTGAACTCTGTGAACCATGTTAGTGATATTGATCCATTCTAATGCTACATCACAGAAAACGTTTCACCAGCACAATGCCAGGCTCAACAGCGGCACTGGGTAAATCATTCCTAGGCTGAACCAATGTCCTCACGTGGTGTTAAAAAGAGAACAGAAGATGTCTCCTGGTTAATGCACTGGACTGGGACCCAGGAGATCTCGGTTACAAAGTTCTGCCACTAACTTAGTGTGTAACCTTGACAAGTCACTTAGGAGCAGACCTTCAGAGGGATTTAAGCACCTAGTTTCAATGGGAGTTGATCCCCAGCTGAGATCAGGGCCCTGTTGTGCCGGGTGCTGCACAGACACACAGGGCGTCCATGTGGCAAAGAGTTCACAATCTAAATAGACAAGAAGCAGGAGGGGAAACTGAAGCACAGGGGAAAAGAAGTGACCTGTGCACATTCCCACAGCAGGTCAGAAGCCAGGAGTTTGAATTCCCAGCCCAATAGCTTAGCCCCCATGCCTAGACCCTACAACAGCTACCTGAAAGCTATGGTGCATCCGAAATCCCTGGCCCCAAGACTGCCCCAGTTTCTACATTTCAAGGCCAGTTGCATTGGTTTAAGGCTGCAGGACCTAGACAGCCCTGGCTGTGACAGGACCCTTCGCAGTCACATGTGAGAGGAGTGGAATTCAGCTCTCAGAGGCGGCACTTCCTGATGTTGGTACCGAGCATATCAGGCTGCCCTGCAAACACAGCCAGGTGCTGTTATCAGCTGCTCGCACCATGGCTGGGGAGATAGTCTATGCCGATCTGAACCTCTCCCCTGGCTTTCCCAGCTCCAGGGCTCCCCTTTCAGCTCAGCCCCACAGTAAGTGCCTTTTATTTCCCCAGGGAGTTCATGTTAAACCCAAAGATGAATTTTGCTGGGGAGCCCCTTGCATTCACTGGCTGCCCCAGAGCAGGTCTGTGCCAGGGGAATTTTTGGCTTTTGGGGAGGTGGCTGCAACACTTTTGATCAGCTCTCTGTAGCAGCTCACTTCTGCGTGTGGGGCTCTCAGTGCAGAAGCCTGGGGTGGAAAGGGGAAGTCCATGCACCCACTCGCCAGTCTGGATGGTGCATTAGATGGTACTTCTCCATTTACAACCCACCGAGCTCTAGCTGGGGGCTTGTGGCGTTCTAGATGGTTGCATGATGGACTCAGGCTACCGGGGCATTGGCAAGAATAATGTGAACTGCTCAGACACGTCCCTGGAGTGGGGATGAGCTGTAGGCACTACATTAACTAAGTGCTATTGAGACAGCAGGAGCTGTCTCTGGCTATATGCTCCTGCAGCCCCCAGCCCAACAGGGCCCTGATCTCACCCAGCATCTCAGGGTGCTACTGTAATTGACACGTCCTTCCGGGGAAAGCCGGTACGTGCAACTGTAATGCTGCCGCCGGGCGTCCTCTGTAATGGTCCATGGAGCTGCTACTAGAGAGCTGAGGAGCGCTGGCTGGGCGGGGAAGGCTGGCGTCCGGGGTAAGCCCTGGCACTGGGAATCTGGACATGGTGGGTCTTATTTAGGTCAAGTGCTCAGCCCCCCACAGCTGGAGCCAGTTGTCAGTACACAGCTCAGCACCCAGCCTGCCTCGGCCCCTATACTCCACACCGGCAGCACACGGGGGCAGGATTTTGCTGCAAGTGGCCAGAGGAGAATTTCACCCAGTGCAGGTATAGCATAGGGCAGCCATCAACTACACTGCCCTCCCCCCACCCCTGAAAAAACAACAACAACAACCCTAGTGCAGGATGGTTTCCAGCAGGGGTGGGTGAGGGAGCAGTAAGGAGAATTTCTGCTGCTCCAGATAATCCGAGTTGCTTCGGACTGTCCATAAATTAGAGCAATCCCAGGGCTGCTCTAATTGACACCTGAGGCTGTTTTGGAGAAGCCCAGAATCACAAGCCCCGGTGTTGCACTTCCCCTGCTGCACAGAATCTCTGCAATGCGCAGAATTAACACGCTTCTTAAGAAACCCTTCAAGAAGCCTATGGCTCTAACCTCACTCTGGGCAGCTCTGACTTCACAGCAGCTATATTTAAGCTATTGTTTCCTCTCCTTGCCTTCCAACCTCTGTGGGGGAAATTCACATCTCTGCAGAGGGCCCAGCGCAAAGGCCAATGCCCTACTTATAGCCTGCAAAATAGGACTAGAATGGTGTCTAGCCTTTGTGTTGGTTCTCTGCACAGGGTGAATTTCATCCCGTGCACGCAGTTTCTTTAGGGCAGGGCATGTCTCTTGCTAGGTGTCTGTGATTCATACACGTTGCATGTCTGTAAGTGTCGTTCTGATCGTCAAGTCTGACCTCCCGCATAATCCAAGCCAGAGAGTTTCACCTACAGATGCTGGCTTTGATTAGAATTATTCTTCCTTACGCTGTAAGGCCCCAATTCAGCAAAGAACTTAACGCCTGTGCCTCTCTTTAACCACTTCCTTAAGCCCCATTACGGTCAATGGGACTGGAGCACACTGTTAAAGTTAAACCCACATCCAAGTTCTTTGCTGGATAAGGATGTTTTGCTGAACTGGGCCCTAATTGACATGATTGAGTCCAACAGGAACAAAGCATGCAGGCCACACTTACAGGATGGGGGGGGCACTCTGTCCTGGGGAGCAAGGACTCTGAAAGAGATTTGGGGGTCATGGGGGATAATTAGCTGTACATGAGCTCCCAGTGCGACACTGTGGCCTAAAGGGCTAATGAGATCCTTGGATGCATAAACAGGGGGATCTTGAGTAGGAGCCGAGAGGTTATTTTAGCTCTGGATTTGGCCCTGCTGTGACCGCTGCTGGAATCCTGTGTCTAGTTCTGGTGACCACAATTCAGGAAGGATGTTGCTAAATTGGAGAGGGGGTCAGAGAAGAGCCACAAGAATGATTAAAGGATCAGAAAACCTGTCTTGTAGTGATAGACTCAAGGAGCTCCATCTATTTAACAAAGAGAGGGTTAAGGGGTGACTTGATGACAGTCTATAAGTATCTACATGAGGAAGAAATATTGAATAACAAGCTCTTCAATCTAGCAGAGAACGGTTCTAACATGATCCAATGGCTGGAAGTTGAAGCTAGACAAATTCAGACTGGAAATAAGGTGTAAACTTTTAATGGGGAGCGTAATTAGTCATTGGAACAATTTACCAAGGGTCGTGGTGGATTCACCATCACTGACAAGTTTTAAATCAACCCTGGGTGTTTTTTTCTATAAGATCTGCTCTAGGAATTATTTTGAGGAAGCTCTCTGGCATGTGTAATACAGGAGGTCAGGCAAAACGACCAGAATGGTCCCTTCCAGCCTTGGAATTTCTGAGTAGCTCAAAAAACATCAAAAACGTTTTGCTCTCAAGACAGAGAAATGTTTAGAAGAGGTTTAGAAAACATGACCGATGAGGAGAAGTTGAAAGAACTGGACATGTTCAGTCTAGAGGAGAGACGGCTGAGGGGGGACGTGAGACCAGTCTTCCAGTATGAAAAAGGTTGTTCTAAAGAGGGTGTTGATCAGTTGCTCTCCATGGCCACTGAAGTTACAATAAACAGAAATCAGCTTACTTTGCAGCAGGGGAGATTTAGGTTAGATTTTAGGAAAAACGTTCTAACTCTAAGGGTAGTTAAGCACTGAACCAGGTTAGCTAGGGAGGTTGTGGAAACTCGGGCATTGGAGGTTTTTAAGAATAGGTTAAACAAACACCAGTCAAGGATGGTCTAGGGGTAAATACGGTCCTGGCTCAGTGCGGGGTGAGGGAGCGGGGAGGTGGGCTACATGACCTCTTGAGGTCCCTTCCAGCCCTACAGTTCTGTGATTCTATGTCTTCAAGATTGAAAGATGTTCAGCCTGAAACAATGATGTCATGTGACCGAGCTGACCAATGAAGCTCGGCCATGCAACATAGTAATTAAACCTTGAAAATGGAAAGAGAAAGCACCGAACCAAAGATTTCAGGGTGGTAGCCGTGTTAATCTGTATCAACAAAAACAATGAGGAGTCCTTGTGCCACTTTAGAGACTAACATTGTTCGAACCAAAGATGTTTACAAATGGGAAAAAGTTTCCAGCCAAAAATGTTGCAAATGGGAAACATTTGAGAAAATCAAATCTGGGAAAGCAAAATAATAAGAGTGATGCCAAATCCTGCCCGTGCCATTGTAGGTTGCTCAGGGCACGACCCAGGCTCCATCATGGGATTGTTTAGTCTGCAGAAGAGAAGAATGAGGGGGGATTTGATAGCTGCTTTCAACTACCTGAAAGGGGGTTCCAAAGAGGATGGATTTAGACTGTTCTCAGTGGTAGCAGATGACAGAACAAGGAGTAATGGTCTCAAGTTGCAGTGCGGGAGGTTTAGTTTGAATCACCTGGATCGATTGGTCTTCAGCTGTTGTTAAGACTGTGCCAATCACAACACGTCCACCATTCTTCTTGCATTCTTGCCTTCCTTCTCCACGTTCGTCCGAAACGTTTTACAATGTCATCTTTCCATCTTCTTGGAGGCCAACCAGGTGGTCTTTTCTGTTCTCGAGGGTACCACTCAGTAATGATTGCGGTCCACCTATTGTCCGTGAACCATGCTCATAGACTTTTTAAGACTCATAGACTTTAAGGTCAGAAGGGACCATTATGATCATCTACTCTGACCTCCTGCACAACGCAGAATCTCACCCACCCACTCCTGTAACAAACCCCTAACCTATGCCTGAGTTATTGAAGTCCTCAAATCATGGTTTAAAGACCTCAAGGTGCAGAGAATCCTCCAGCAAGTGACCCGTGACCCACGCTGCAGAGGAAGGCGAAAAACCTCCAGGGCCTCTGCCAATCTGCCCTGGAGGAAAGGGTTCCTTCCTGACCCCAAATATGGCGATCAGTTAAACCCTGAGCATGTGGGCAAGACTCACCACCCAGCACCAGTGCTATGTGGCCCGCCCATCGTATCTTATTATATCTGCTTTCCACAACAATATCTTTCACACCACTGCGTTCTCTAATAATTTCATTTGGGATACGATCCAGATTTTATATTTATATACAGGTTGGATATTAGGAAAAACTTTTTCACTAGGAGGGTGGTGAAGCACTGGAATGGGTTACCTAGGGAGGTAGTGGAATCTCCTTCCTTAGAGGTTTTTAAGGTCAGGCTTGACAACGGCCTGGCTGGGATGATTAAGTTGGGGATTGGTCCTGCTTTGAGCAGGGGGTTGGACTAGATGAGGTCCCTTCCAACCCTGATATTCTATGATCCCTGTCTAACATGGGCTGCTCTTTGCATGTCTTCTGTGCTGTTATGTTCTGAGAGTTTTCTCTCTCTGAGGACTGCTCGATGGAGGGAGTCTTTGCTAGGCCCCTTTTGCATGTTTTTCCAGCTGCCCAATGCTCCACTTCATTCTTAACATAAGAATAGCCATACTGGGTCAGACCAATGGTCCATCTAGCCCAATATCCTGTCTTCCAACAGTGTCCTGAGAAAACGCATCCCAGATCTTTCCAACTTCTGTTCTGGATAACTTTAGAGAGCAGGTGATGTTGGACTCTGACGAATCTTGGCATTTGTTATTAATTCATTCCATTTAATGTCTAGTAATTTTCTAAGACATTTGCTTTCCTAGGTATTTAGACATCTGTCTATGCCTTTGGTGGATTTCCAGCTTTCACATCTATACATTAGGGTGGAAATAACATTTGAGTTGAACATTCAGAGTTTGGTCTTTAAACTGTAGATTTGCAATGACCAAATCTTGTTTAAGCTGGTCCATGCAGCTGCTACCTTGCCAATTTGTGACATTATTTACTCCCGGACTTTCCGTTGTTGTGCATGTTACAGCCAAGGTATGCAAATTGACAATATACATAATGAACACAATAGAAAATCATTAAGAATAATGCAATCAAACAGAAAAAGAACCTGAAAAACAACAAACCAATATGGTGAAGAATAAAAAAAAGGGGGGGAGGGGTTATTTAAAAATGCAGGAAATGTAAAATATTGAGAAAATATCAGTATTTTCATAAAAATTCCCATTTTCAAGAAAATGGCCAAAATTTCACCCCATTGCCTTTACATAAAAAGTCAGACAGCTCTCCAGTCATCCCAGACTGGCCTACAAAGGAAAACAGGTGAGCGTATAGGCCCCAATCCTGTAATAAACTCCATGTGGGCATAGGATTCTACCCACACTGTAAGATCAAGGCTGTGTTTTTCTTTGAAACAGTCTTTCATACACCAGATTCCGATTGTTTCTCACCAGACGTTGGCTCTTACAGGTCCCCCAAGTCCCCAGTGGCATCGGACAGCGCTGTGGGTCGGATGGATTGGGAATATTGTCCTGGTGATTGCTGTGATAGCGCTGGGGATTTGGGGTGAGTAGTTGACGGCTCCGTGTTTATTTGTGTGGGTCCATCCGTGTATAGCATGGATTGTCCCGTCCCTCCAGAACTCTATTGTGGAGCCCCTCCCACTAGCTGGTACATTTTTTTGATGCTCCAAAGAGCTTGACTGTAACAGAGAGAAAATTAAATAGAGAGGGAGATGGGTGTGCATGGGGATGGATGGATAACTAGATAGATCCAGGAATACATTAGAACTGGTTAAAAATAAGGGGAATATTTAACTGAGATATATATAAAATATATATATATATTTTAAAAACCTTGTCACCTTCTTTTCAAAATTCAAAAGACCCCCTAAAGTTTGAAAGTTCAAAATTTGAAAAGCTCCACAAGTTGGCTGAAAAATGGGAGGGAGAGGGGAGAATTATGTGACAGTTTCATCAACATTTTTTGTTTCAAATTTCAAAATTACATCGACATTTTAAAATTAGAAAAAAAATTCAGCCAAGTCTAATACTAGCACTGATTGAGAATTTCTCATCCAAATGTGATTTTTAAAAAGGAAAATTAGGATTTTGCTATATATGTAGCACTCCCTACCCCCTCCCCCCTGGTTACCTTCTTTAGCACCAATCCCCTGACGGGTTTGAGGGACGCCCTGGGTTCTTCCGGATCCCGCTTTCCGCTCCCCAGGGTATAACATTTTTATTTTCTTCCTGTATTAATTTATTTGCCGGTGCTTCCAACCCCCCTCGCTCCTGCCAGGCAGGGTCACCAGGGCAGCTTGGCAGGAAAATTCTGACCACAGGGTAAACCCCACTTACTTGCCAGTTAGTTGGAGACTCCCAAGAAATAACACAGACATATACAATATATTCTACACTGTAATTATATTAAACAGGAGATACATATAACAAAAAGGGTAAAACACTATTCCAAGGGTCACCGGTGCCCACGCTGATAATACCCATGAATTTCCTCAGTCACGTGACCTGATCTAGCAAAGGTCAAATTAGTGTCCCGTTGGCACACATACTTGTAGGGGTCCTTGATGATCTGTGAGCACGATATCATCTGTGCCTCAGTTAGCAGCTTGGCTGACTGGGCTCAGTGCAGCCCAAAGGACTCACACGTGGGATGAGGCCGTCAGTCCCGCCACGGGTTTAATAAGCAGCAGGTTGTAAAATCCCCAAACCCGACCCGCTGGCTTGAGGGCCCAGTCCCGGGAGTGGGGGGGGGGGGTCTCCCGAACCATCTCCCTGACTAGCCAATGGAAGGACGGTGACTCACAGCTCCACGCCGGATCCTCACGCTCAGAGATGGCTCTGCACTGCAGAGGGGCTGATGATCACTGCTGGCAGGCGTCCTCGTCATGCAGGGTGTGGTGGCTGATTTTCCCTAGGGAGATGCGGGGCTAAACTCAGCCAGGCTGTGGGGGGAGTTTTCCCAACAAAGGTCTCTAACCCGGGAGCCACCTTCCCCCCAGGGACAGCGCCTCTCCCTGAGCTACCAGCACACAGAGCCCCAGAGACCTGGGGAAGCACCTTGGGGGTTACACACATATAGATATCTCCACTCTGGCTGTGTCACTGCAGTGCACCTTGGGAGTCCCAAGCCTGAGGTGCATCATGGGAGATGTAGTCCAGCCAGGGAGCCTCGCCCATAAGGAGGAACCGCGGCATGAGGCACCAAACTACAACTCCCAGCAGCTCAGGCAGCGGCATGTCAATATTGAACCCACCTGCAGTGAAACATTTCAACCTTCCAAATCAGGTTGATTCTGAATGTTTCCTTCCACAAACAAGTTTTTGATACTTTGACTTTTCACCCAGTTCAGGGCAAAAATAAATGTTGAAATATTGGAATTGCTTGTGGCACATAAATTCGGATTTTTTTACCTACTCTATCTAATACATACACACCCCAAGAGATAGTCACAGCAATGGAGATATAGTGAGAGAACCAGACCTGTCAGAAGAGGATATTGTCTTTAACAGATGTGGGTTCTATTCCAACATCTGCTGGGTGACGTTGCACAAGGCACTTTGCCTTTGTGTTTCTCTTCCCTCCCCAGCCTATGATTTGCCTTGTCTATTTACGGGGAGATTTTCAGACGCCCTTAAGGAATTTAGGGCACCACCTTCATACTGACATTAAATATCCTCCATTCGTCTGCAAGCCGCGCTTAGCTCTAGCATCAATTCCTGGCTCTGCCATAGACTCCCTGTGTGACTGTGGGCAAGTGCTCTGGGCCTCAGTTTCCCCATCTATAAAATGGAGATCGTGCCTCCTTTGTCTAAGTAGATTGAAAGTGCTTTGAGGCAGGGCCTGTCTCTCTCTGTGTGTCTGTGCAGCGCCTGGCACAACGGGAACCTGATCTCAGCTGGGGCAGGGACTGTCTCTCGCTGTGTGTCTGTGCAGCGCCCGGCACAACGGGGCCCTGATCTCAGCTGGGGCAGGGACTGTCTCTCCCTGTGTGTCTGTGCAGAGCCCAGGACAAAGGGGCCCTGATCTCAGGTGGGTTACTAGTGCAGGGTTAATAAAACTTTCCACTGACTTAGATGCCCTTTGAAGCTGAATCGCCCCCTCACTGCCCAGACACAGCTCCTGTCCTCATTTTATTTCCTCTCCTACACCACAAAGAGAAACCATCAGTGTCTCCCCTGCCACCCAAGTAAACAAGGTGACAAACAGGGACAGAGCAGCAAACGGCATCTTCTGCCCAGAGCCCAACTGGCTCCTTACAGCCCAGCACAGACACATTCTAGGCTGCAAATAGGCCGTAGGCCCTTGGACCAGCCTCTGTTATTGTTATTATATCTATTGCTGTGGAGCCTAGAGGCCCAGCTGTGCCCAGACACACAGCGAGAGACAGTCCCTGCCCCAGCTGAGATCAGGGCCCCATTGTGCCGGGCGCTGCACAGACACACAGGGAGAGACAGTCCCTGCCCCAGCTGAGATCAGGTCCCCGTTGGGCCAGGCGCTGCACAGACACACAGGGAGAGACAGTCCC